TGACATTTTCACAATTGTAACATCTTATAAGAAAAATAAATGAAAATATAATTTTTCTTATCAATTTTCTTATATCGTTTACTGTTTCAAACTCAGAAAAATGCATACATATGCTTTCATTTTAATATTATGTAAATTGTACAATTTGCATATAAATACAAATTTTGGCACAGTATTCTAGTAAATACGAGAAATTCATCGTAAACAGTCAATTTTGTTCACCCATTAAATGATTATCATATTGATTACAGGATGTATTAGTTTAGTTTATACTTTACAATAGAAAGACATCTTTATAAAAGGTTATATACTATAAAAAACTATTCAACATTATTAAAAAATAATTGTTACTGTTTTAGATAAATAATATATGCTATGATGTTAGGTACCATTCTAGGACAGCTGTATTTGATTAATTTATTATATCTAATTTCTCAAGCTATTAAAATATCTAAAACTTATTTTTCTTGTACAAATACATAGAAATTCACATTTTAAATAACAATTTCGTCATAACTAATATCTTTTGCCACCATCGTGTTTCATAGTATTCTGATAAACATCCACATTTTGTAAATGTAATTCTTATATACACCTCAGGTACTTAATATAATTACCTTCTAAATATATTACATTCTCATAAAACCTAATTTCTCTTTGTTGAAATTTATAAATACAATTTATAAATTGTACAATTTTTACTTCATGAGAAATTAACATTAAAAAATTTCTCTTTACAACTCTTCAATATGAGATTTTAACAATTTCGGTAATGATGGCACATCTGATGTTATTAAGTTGTCTGGAGAACCAGCTGCAGGAAAAATATGACATAATATGGCATAATAATGAAATCCAGCTCCTATTGCAACAAAAAGATGCCAAATTGCATGTGCACAAGGTATTCTTCCATCAGATTTGAAAAATACCAAGCCAAAAATATAAAGAAGTCCTCCCATTTTTAGTTCAGCAATGTTATAATAATTATGCTGTAAGTGTTGATATATAAATTTCTTAATAATTTATAATGATTATTTATTAACCACAGTGATGTTTTACTTACAACATTAATAATTGCAATACTAGGACATATTCCCATAACTAAATAAAAAATTGTTTCTAACATTTTATATCGTTCATGGAAGATTTGTTGGTACAATATACCCAATATTGCCATAACCCAAACAGCATAACGCATTGCAAATAACAATTCATCATCCAAGAAATAATCTAGATTTAACCAAGGAAAATAACTGGCAGCAATGAAAATGTAAATCATTGCACGATCACAACGATGCAATGCATCCTTAAGTTGTCTGTAATATAATTTAATATGAAAAATGCTAATTTTGTAAACTTAAAGTACATTTACTTCATAAACAAAAAACTGTAGCAAGTACACACAAGTTAACATTGCTTAAAATACACAATAATAAATACCTGTTATTATTGCAATAATGTACACTGTGAAAAAATGTTGATACTGTAAAAACAAGAATTAAAGATGTCCCATATACATAAGCTGATATTAATTGTGCCCATGTTGTAGAACGACGAATAAGTTCCAAGCTACCTATGACAGATGGTAAAACCCAAATTCCATGAGTAGCTACATTTGCTACATGCTCTATAGAAGTAGGTGTATATGCTTCGTTTGTACATGCTCGAGGATTCATCCATTTTACTCTGTAAGAATTTAACACATTTTATAATATAATTTATCTCATTTTAATATTTATTTTTATTTATTTCCTTGTACATATGTAATATTTAAATTCCTCATTACAAAAGAAAATAGTTTTCAATTAGGTTTTCATTTTCTGATCTAGAATATTTGTTTCTTATAAATCTAGGTTGGAAAATATAATAAATCATTCAAATTTTCAAGTTTGATATTAAACGTATACTATTTAAATCATTACTGAATTACTGAAGTGCAGAGAAAACAAGTTTATAAATGTTATCAGATGTTGTATCATATATTGTTTCCACATTTTTCAATAAAATCATGTAACACGTACGGTCGTTGAACACGTTCGATTACGCTTCACCATTCTATAGAAAAAAATATACCATGTGTCATGGAAAAAAATTTAATTGACCTTCAAATGACCTTAAACGTCTCCAGTAACTCCTTTCACCTTTTTTAGTCTCCAAAAGCAAGTTTTCCAATTTAAAGTAATTTGCGAAATATAAGCATATACATTAAAATAGATCACCTTGTATAAAATAATTGATCGCGTTATTAACTATTAGGCCCAGTGCAGATGAACGATACGAAGTCGGTACGATTTTGTAGCCGATGACGCTGTGCGATTCGACACAATTATTTAAGAATAATGGAGATAACTTATTTGTATTTATTAAAACTGATTTTTATGAGAATAATGAAATAGCATTCTGTATTTTGTCGCCAGTATTCTATAAAATACCAAGAGAATCAGACGATTGGACCATATCAGAAATCAATTGAATGATCCGGTCACCAACAATATCTAAGGGAAATTGTTTTAAATTTCTGACTAATGGTCCAATAAAAAAGTACTCAGAAATTTCTACTACTCAAACTGTGGACTTATAGGAGTTATAATAAAATCAAAGAATAATAGAGAACAACATAGTGATGCAGTCCGTATAACAATGAATATTCCGATATATCCGAGACACAAACCAGTTTCTTTAGAAATTATTAAGGGCATAATACATTGGTGTTCTAGAGACTGCGTATTCAAAGAAGGAAATTCTATCAAAAAGAATGAAAATAATCTCTCATTCCTTATCTATTTCATTATATGAAAAGCCTGTAATACTTTTTTTGGATTATAATTCCTATACTATTATAAATTTTACATACAAGTAACTGAAACATTTTATTTGAACTCACTTCTCTTCCCTTCTTACTTTTTAACTATTTACTATATCTTTTTATTTTCTTTCTTCCTTCTTATTTAACTAGTGACAATGGAAGAACTGTATAAATGAAATTTTTAGTTGGTCAGCTGAACAATTAAAAAAACACCTGATTGGTAGCCAATGATCCGTGACGTGACACAATGTGCTTATACGCACAAGTCCAAAGTGTCTTCGAACCCTGATGAAGTTATCTACAATGTTGGCGAAATGTTGAATTTCAAGAACCATTGAATACCGCTCAAACCCCAAAGCCTCCAGTAACTTCAAACAATGCAGGCTATGAAAGCCTCAAAAGTTTATTTAGAACTACAATAAATTAACAAGCAATAAAATTCATATTATGTTCAGATTCGTTCATTAATTAAACCTTATAAATAGTTATATGAAATGCTGTGCTAGCACTGAATAGAAATTATAGCAATGTGCTCATAACTCTTGCAGAGTTGGGATCAAATTACACCAGTTAACATTCGGGTATTATTACAACCAATATTTTTATGATACTACCTACAGAGAGAAAATGTGTGTGGCGCGTATGTGTGTGCGCGCGTTTATAAAATTAGTCAAGCAACTGAAACATTTTAAACAGTAAATTTGTGATACAGATATTTAAAAATTTCATTTTTAAATGATAGATAGGTTAATATTTCATATCTATGTTATATTATTCAATTAATAGTTTGTCATTGCAAATCTCAAATTGTAAATAGCACTCAGGGTTTGTTTCGAACAAACAATTCCATATTTTTGTAAGAATAACACATAATAATTCTTCAAAATATATTACTTTAATTTTTAAGTTTTTAA